GTGTGTCCATGCCCGAACTTCCAGGAGGAGGGGGGGGGGGGGCTGTTAAAAGGTGGTGGTGGGGGGTGTCAAGTAAAGGATGGTATACCAGGCAGGGAGGGCCGGATACCAGCTCAGAGCAGAGCTCAGGGGATTGGCTATGATGGACTGGAGCAAATGTCCCCAACCTCTGCTCTTCCCCCAGGGTCTCCTCCCTGTCCCTCTCTCCACCCCTTCCACACAGACATTCTTCCTGATCTTCCTTTCTTCCCTCTTTTCTCCCCAAAGGTAAAGATCTGGTTTCAGAACAAACGCTCCAAATACAAGAAGCTTCTGAAGCAGAACTCTGGGGGACAGGATGGGGACTTCCCTGGGAGGCCCCCCTCCCTGTCCCCCTGTTCCCCACCCCTTCCATCCCTCTGGGATCTGTCCAAGGCAGGGGCCCTGCCCACCGGTGGCTATGGCAACAGCTTTGGAGCCTGGTATCAGCATCACTCCCCAGATGTCCTGGCTCCGCCTCAGATGATGTGAGTCTGGAGAAGGGCGGGCCAGGCCCCCAGCCCTCCTGCAAAGCCCAGCACCCAGCCCACCTGCAACCCTTCTGGGCAGGGAGGAGAAAACCAGCTCCAGATGGTCTTCTCAGAAGGACAAGAAGCTATAGGAGAAAAAGGGATAGGGTGGAGCCTTGTCACCCTAACCCAAATAGCTCAGCCCAAGACTTGGGCCTTAACCACTATGGAGCGCTGGCTACCTTCCTCCAGCTGGACAAAGTTCTGGAGTGAGAGACAGTCATTGGTTGGACTTTAGACCCCAGGACCCTTGGTCTTACCGCCTCTGCTCCCTTGAGAGGGCTGCAGCTTCACTACAGTCTGAGGTCTAAATGGGCACGAAGCTTTGAGAGTTTCCTCTCCTGTGCCACGGGCCCTGCCCAACCCATTGGTGAGAAGTGGACATCCGGACCCTCAAATTGTGGTCGGCCATCACTCCTGTAACTGATACACCTACTTGCCATCCTGTGACTTGGCGGGGAGCCCACGAAATGAGGAGTGTGTGTGTCTATAGACAATTCGTGCTCTCCTAGAAAAGCCCGCTTTCCCACAGGTACCCGCTTTGAGTAGTATGGGTCCAGCTATCCACATAATTCTATGTGTATTTATTAAGAACCTGTCCTGTTCCCCATCTCAAATGCCGGACTAACCCACTTGTACACAGTTTTGGGAACCCCTTACGGTTACGAGGACAAAGAGGTTCTTTGAAGTCTGTGTGCAGAGCGAGCCACCCTGAACAGGTGGGGTATGTCAGGCAGTTTTGCTCCTCACAGCTGTCTCTGTCCATAGGAACTGCTCAGATTTGTAACCAATCTGACCAGCAGCCCCCAAACTCACACTGTCCCTCATCCCAAAAGCATCCAGAGATTAAAATGTGTACAAAAACCTGGGCCCCGGCTGTGAGGTGTGCTGCTTTCCTGACTTCTCAAGGGTGGGGCCGATGGCTCGTGTCTTCTCTCCCATCTGACTTGTCTACACTGAACTGGGTGTCAGAGGCACTGGGTTCTAGTTTTGCCTCTACCATTAGCTCTGTGGTTCTAGTTCTGGAATGTTGTCCATAGCTTCTGATGCTCCAATGTGAAACCGGAAGATGCTTGTGCCGGGGGTGACCAAGATCAGAATGCTCCTCACAGGCAAATTCTCTCCTGGCCCGGTACTGGAGAAAGCCTGCGCCTCACAGCCCTTGCATCCCACTTTCAGTCCAGGGAGAGGCCCATTTGGGGAGAGGCCACGCCCATGGAGTCAGGCCACGCCCACTGGGAGAATTGTGCTGCTTAAGGGTGAATGGCCTCAGCCCACCATAGGGAAGAAGGGGAAGAATGAAAATACCAGAAGGAACTGCAGTTCTTCCAACAAACAGTTGTAGAGCCTCTGCTCTGTGTCAGACCTTCGGGATACCAAGGTGACTGAGGAGCCAAATGATCAGACGCGTATGTGTCAAGTGCACAGAGGGCAGTGTGGGCATTGGCCAGGGACTCCAATCCACAGCCAGTGTGGTCAGTGGCTGGACAGAAGGGTGGGCAGCTCAGGGAGCAGTGGGACCCAGTGGTAATTCATCATGCCACCCCCACACATACACCCCACCCCATCCCACATAGGACACCCCACGATTAGGAGAGGGACAGGAGAGGAGATGAGGACAGGGGCTGTGGAATAATTCAGGGAATCCAGAGCAGCCTGGCCCAAGGGGTTGGAGGAGGAGCCTTCAATTCCAGACCAAAAACTCCCCAGTCATGATTCCCCTTTACTGACTAAACCTGTCGCTAGGCCTTGCAAATTCGGGGCTTGCCCCAATCTGAAAAGCCCACTAAGGCATTCTAGCCAATCCCGGTTGCCCAAAGAAGCCTAAATTGGGTTCATACGTAGCACAGAGACAGTGCGAAGCCAGTGGACACCTGCAGTCAGTCCCTCCTGGATCAATCTCTGGTCCTCAGCCTGCTCTGAGTCAGTGGCCAACAGTGGCCATTCCGAAACACACATAGAGGATTCTTTTAGGAATGGCAAATGGAACAGGGTGAGCCAAAGCCAGGGTCCTGGAGCCATGAGGAATGGGAGGACCAACAGGAGTCTTCCTCTCCCTCTTGGCCTCCATCTCTTTCCTTGCCCCCAGGTCCCACCTCCGCTGTTTTCAGTGTCCTGGCCCCAGGTTCCTCCTCTGGGTCTTCTCTGAGGCCACAGGCCTTCCAGGCAGCTGTTCCTCCCACTACAGGTTGCACACTCCTCTTTCCACAGACCCGAGATAAGATCTACCGCCCCATCTCGGAAAGCCTCCAAAGGCGAGATTAATTGGACAGCCCAACAAGAGTCCCATCGTTAAAACAACAGCCCGGGTTGTAAAGTTAAGTAGCAGAAGGAGTGTAATTACTCTCCCAGCCAGAGGCCAGCTGGGCTGACAGTACCCCCCTTCCTTACCCTGTCTTCCTTTTTCAGGGGAAATGGGAATCTCTTTCCCACTTGGAAGCTGGTCCAGTTTCCCCTGGGCTCCTGGCGATGGGCCTGGCGCCCCTCTTCTCCCAACCCCACGCAGAAGGTGCCCCATTCCCTTCCTTCAAGCCATCCCAGGCTGTACAAGGGACCCCTGTGTTTTTTTACCCATGAGGAAGTCCCACGAGGAAGAAATGGGTCCATAAGGGCAGAGGAGACAAGACTGAGTAGATAAAAACAGATTTGGTCTCTGCAGAGTTCCAGCTCTGCCACCTGCTAGCTGTGTGACTTTTGCCAAGTTACTCAACCTCTCTTGGAACCTTGTTTTTTTCCCCCTTAAGACGGGACTACTAATAGGACTTGCTTTGCAGTGTGGTTGTGATGACAAAATGAGATAGTGCTTGTAACATGCTTGACACGGTGCCTGGAACATCGTAAGCACTTAATAAATGGCATTTATAGCTGCTGTGACGATTATCGGGGAGGGGAGGGGTCATGGTGAGGGTGAGTTCATACTACCATCCATTCACCTCTTGCCTCTGGCAGACCTGCCTCCTGAGGGTGGGGAGAAAAACGGGCTGGAGAGAACTCACATCCCTGGGCACCACCGACTGAGCAGAGGACACAAGCGGGGTCCCTCATGCCAAAGGGGCAGCATCACTGTGCATTTGGGTTCAGCCAATCCCTGGAAAGTGAGTCTGGAGAATGCCCAGGCCACGTGCTGTCACCTACGAGGGTCCTGGCCACTGGGAAGTTGATCTGGGGCTTCCCCGCTCTCTGGGCGGCTCACCTTTCCTCTCCCCATATGCTATTTTAAGACATGTCCCTTATCCTCTCCCCCAACAAAATGGGATTCAATTAATTCAATTAAAGCAATTTTGGGGGCAGCTCCTGAAGACTTTCAATGTGAGATAATTATAAGTAATTTGCTGCCGTGAAGAGGAAAAGGGCACAAGGGGTCTGGGGGGCGGGGAGGAGGTAGCCCCCTCCTCCCCAAATGCACGCAGATCTGGAGGGATTCTACACTGCAATCTTAACAGCCCTCCCATTGGCCAAATTACTTGCAGGTGGGAAGACAGAGAATGCGGTGCTGGGAAGGGGGTGGGAAGACAGGAGTGACAGGCGCCCCTCCTCCACCCCCAAATCGGCTGTGCAAGGTGGGGGCAGGGAGCTGGTGGTTCCCCGACAAAATGTCTGCACATCCCTAGCAGCTGATTACTCAGCTCTGAAGCTCATTTGAGTATGGATGTCTGGGCTTGCCTCTGGGATTGTATCCAGAATCAATGGAATGTTATCCGGGTAGCTGAGGCCTGTGTAGACGGGGCCGTGGAGATCAAGGACTCCCCCAGAACTTATAAGGGATGTGACTAGGGTGAGGGAAAGCCAGAGAAGGTGACAATGACTCCTTTTCTCCATGGAGCTGAGAAAGCCGCTCTCTCCTCCCCAGTGGGGTCCAATTTTGCTTCTCCATCCCTCCCACTTCTCCATCCCTCCCACTGTAGCAGTGGCAAATCTCTCAGCTTCTGTCCTGGGGGCACTGAAGCCTCTTCACCCAAGAAGGATTCTACAGATGTCCCCACCTCCATGTACCTGAGATAACCCTTTCTTTGCCAAGGCTCCTTTGGCCTGGGAGAAGGCAGGAACAAGGACTAGACGTAGCAACTGGGAGGCAGGGGCTGAGACAAGTGTGCGGAGAGGCCTCAGGTCTCTACAAAGAGCCTCTATACTGCCCACAGAAGAGCTGGTTTTCAAGGGGTTAGAGTCCTCCTTTACTCCTGTCCCAGAAGGAGAGTGATGTTTTAACAATTGTGGTTAAAAAGAAAAAGTCAGGCCAGCAGGTGACGTGGTAGTTAAGGCACTGGGTCCCACATGGCTGACTCCATGGTTTGAGTCCCAGACCTATTGACTTGAAAATCATTCTGGATGCATGCCCCAAATCCCAAGGGGAGAACAGAGGAGAAAGGATTGTGGTGTGGCCATTCCCCTCAAGGGTAATTTCTCACTTGCTTGCTTTCTCTGTCTCTCACTGTCTTTCCAGAAAGCCCACTTGCCCTATAGCAAACATCTTAAAAAAAAAAAAAAAAAAAAGGAAAGAAAGAAAAAGAATAAGTCACTAATCCCAAAGTCCCAAAGTGTTTCTCTTTTCTATCTCCCATTTTACCCATCACTCTCCCTGCTTCTCTTACTCCAGGGAGAGTAAAAAGGAGGAGTCCCTTTCAGTTCTAGTCTCTCCCCACTCCTCCCCTTGAGCACATGGCTAAGCACCAAGGCTGTTGGACCTGGGGAGCCAGGGAGACATTCCGTCAGTGAGTCCTTGGGTGGCTGCTGTCCCTCCTCTCCCAGGATGAAAAAACTTGGCAAAGGAGAAGTGGCCTCCTCTCCATGCCTCCCCTTTCCTCTTTCCTGACCCACTGGCACTGGTAAACACAGGGAATAAAAAGCCCTTCCACCTCAGACCTGAAAATACGAAAGCCTCAGGGGGACCAGCAGTTAGCATAATGGCTATGTCACTGGACTCCCATGTAGTCGACCGCGGGTCAAGTCCCGGACCCGATGGCT